TTGGATTTTGTATCACTTATTTTTCACCTTGCCAATTTGGCAAGTCAACAAATTTTTCTAATTTTATAATTTTAGCTATAAACCTTATTTCTTTAGTCAAAAATTCAGCCTTCTCCCTTTTAAGTTCATTGTTCTTATTATTCTAATTCTGTGATTCTAGTTATAAGTCTAGTATTTTTCTGTTTCAATGTATCTATATCAGATAATTTTTCGGGTTTGTCTCTTTGAACTTACATGTTTAATAAATTTATATAGCTTTAACATGAATGTTCAGAAAAAGATTTTTACTGACTATTTCTTGAAAAATATTTTTATTAGATAATTATTTTTAATTCAATTAAGCTATCTTTGTATAAAAATATTTTTTGAGGTAACTAAAAAAATCATGTATATGTGACAAATTGTTATACCGATCGCTTTTACAAAGAAAAATTTATAGAATGTACATATTTTTAGAATCACTATTAATTCTGAGATCTTTAGAATTCAATTTTACTTCGATCCTGCTATAAAGAATATTAACATCAAATTTTATAATTTTATTTATAGTTTTTGAGAGATATAAATAATAAGTCTTTAGACTTTAGTCTTAATAAATTTCAGAAATACACACAAATAGTTAGTTGAAGGATAAGAGCATTTATATATTAAAAATAATTAATTATACAAATTATACAAATAATAAAATAATTGAAATTTCTTGCTTCCTAATCTAAAATTTTGAAATTTAAAATATGCAGTAATTGATGCTAATATTGTTGCTAAAAAATTTTTTTTTAGATAGAGTTGGATGTATAGGTAGATGCTTATAGACCAAGTTTGTTGTTTATAAAAATCAGATGGTTCTAGTCATTTGTCATAATTCACTACTATCTTTGATAAAGCAAATGATATTATATTAATTCGAGATTAAACTTTCGTAATTTTTGTTCTATGTACCTTCTTCTGTTCTATGCAATAAATGTCCTAATATACAAGCTTTTTTCCTTTCAAACGCAATTCCTATTTTCAAAAGTTTTTTGATATTTTCTTCTAGACCTACTCGATACTACTTCTCTTCGATTTGAAGTAATCCTTCTTGAGTCATATCATATAAACTTTTTTTATCAAGAACAACTTTAAATTCAATGATAATAGCTATCTCATTAACACCTAGTTTTGGAATTATTTTTACATTATATCTTCTAAAACCAGCCTCACAATTAGAATAAACAATAAACCCTCGATCACAAACATTAGTGAATACTCCTAAACAAAAAGCATAATAAACATATTCTACATTTTTTCCAGAATTAGACCCTCTGACCTCATAAAACGAAAGTGTATCTACAATCATATTTTCAAATTCTTTACTAAATAAATCAAGATTTCCGTGTAAAAGATTGTTTAATATTGATGTAATAGTTTGTCCTTTAGTAAAAAATGGTACATTAATCATCTAATTATACTATTCTAAATGAATCTCTTCATTTGGAATAACAAGATGCTTCTCAGAATTTATAGTAAGGTATCCTGCATAGTAAAGAAGTGTCTAAATAGCTAAATCTTAATATTAATCCAAATATAAATATCAAAGATTATCCTAAATCTTAATATCAGTTATACTTTCTTCTTTTAACAATTTCTTAACTGATTCCTTAAATGAAGAGCTTGCTTTTCATAGGCATTTTTCTAATGTTTGAATGCTTCCTGTATTTGTCTAATATGCACCTAAGATACTACGTGAAAGCAGATGAATAATAGACTACAGATTATATAAATGTCTTTTTCCTGAGATGTAGCCATCATACTACTTTTGATTGTTATTAAATTGCAAATTTTTACGCAGTGACAATAATAATTCTACCTCATCAGACGTAAATCCAAACTTATCTACATAAAGAGAAGATGAATCTTTGTGATTTTCTTAATAGAAAGGATATATCGTAATATTATTTAACTCAGACAAGAACCCTGATTTTGCAATCTGTAACACACCAACTAGCATAGCTTTTGCAATATTTTCATCATTGCTCTAATATTCAATCATAAATAGAGATGAATTTTCGATCAGATTATAATAAAAAGTTATGAATATGTCTTATCTTCAATAATAATAAGAACATGCCTTTAAAAAAATTATTTGCAACTTCATAATATCTTTTATTATAAGCACACTCCATTAGAAAATCGTATTCATCAATTAATACAATATATTTTTTTTTATAGTGTTGTCGTAGATACTTAGAAAGCATCTTCAAAGAAAACTCTAATTGTGATTCAGTTGAATCTTCGTTGAGAAAACTTTGATATTTTCTTAATTCATCAGGATATAAATTTTTAATAAGGTAATAGTGTTCACGATAAATTTCAGCTATAAGAAGTTTCAATTTTTCTATTATTTTATCCTATGTTTTAGTATTTAGGTCCTATTTGTAATATACTGTGAATAAAAAAAATATAAAATCATAATAAATAAAATAATAACCAAACCTTAAGAGAGATATAAATAATAGGATATTACGCAAAATGTTTTTGTATAATTTCTTTTTCAGTTGAAATTTTTAGTTTTTCAAAAAGTTGACTGCAGATAACATTCTCTTCTTGGAGATGTGATATCTTAAAAAAGCGATTTAGCATAGATAAATTTGTTGACTTGCCAAATTGGCAAGGTGAAAAATAAGTGATACAAAATCCAAACTCTCAATAAACTCTTTTATAAGCATTGATTTATCAACAAAAGTGAGATAGTCACTTATAATAGTTTCAAAGTTATCTTTTCTAACAGCAACACTTGCACTAAAGACAACTCTGGTATTATTGCCTATATATTAAAAAAAAAAAATTTTTAAATTTGTGAAGTATAAAACTAAATTACCAGATAAAAAAAGTAATATTTACGAGTTCTAGTATAAGGCTTAAAATTAGAACCTAACATGAAAGCTTTCTGATCCTTCATATTCATGACAATTTATATGAGTAATTGAGTTTGAAATGTCTGAGAAATATGACACAGAATATTTTTATAGGAAAAAGAAGCTAAACATTTTTGTACTAGTACGTGACTCATAATCATGATTCAAAATAAATACTTAATGAATATTGATATCTTTGTTACGTATAGCGATAAATTTTGTTTAATCTATTATTATTATTACAGTACTGCCAAACAGCTAATTCTAATTTATTATTATTCAATTATTCAAGATTCCCTTGCCTCAGAGAGGTGCTTATTTGAAGCTAGAAAATTAATGTATTCACATTGTCTATATATTCTATTTGCTACCTTTTTGCAAGTTTTGCAATACAGATATGAATGATGATAGCATTCATCATAAACCTTATATCCAATACTTCTAACCTCTTAAGATATGCTACTTTTTGATATAATTTTGACTTTTTTTATGTTTTTTCATTTTTATATATAACAAAAAAATAATATGTACATGGCTAAAATTTATCATACAAACCTTTAATGTATGGTAGTTATGATTATGATTAATTTACAAACAAATTATATGTGTACCTTATAGAGGTTGTACAATACATATCTTAAATAAATCATAAGGTAGTATTGATATATACTACACGGACCTCAAACTAAAAGATTACAGCAATAATAACTTTTAATTTTGATTATATAGTAAAGAAGTTTTGCTTCAAATTTATGACTAGATATATTTAAAAATCAAGTAATAATAGAATATAACTTTATTATAAGAATAAAAATAGGCTAAGGTGAGCTAAGTAAAAACTTAAGAGTAGCGAGTTTAAAGAAAGGAATTTCTTAAGCTCTAACCCATATTGTTAAACTAATATCTGAAAATAATTTTTGACTCAAGCTACTAGAAGAACTCAAAGAAGAAACAGAAGATAATTTTTAGAAAAAATTAAACATAAGTACAGATGGGTTAGCAAATTTTTCAGATATTAATAGTATCACAGAACCTATTTTAGTTAAATAGTTTAACTGATTATGAAGAGTTTTATAATTGGTAGTGATTTCATTAATAGTTTCAATTATAGTGTTTACTATTGCTAAGATTCTCTGTTCTTTAACAACAAATATAGTATTTTGTAATATAATATTTGCAGTTAATCTTTTAATATATGTAGAGTTCTATGATAAATTGCTATATAATGAGATATATATCTTTTTTTTTTTTTTAACCTTAGACGATCTTACTCTTCATTTTATTAAGAGAAATATCATAATGATATGTAAAAAATACAGAAAAAAGAACAAAAATTCTAATTTT